GGTGGCCACAGGGCTGTGCCCTCCTGAGGGTACCGTGGAGAGATGTCCCTCCTGGCATCTGAGTTATCTGGTCTGTAGCAGCAGAACTCTGTGTCCCAACCTCTTTTTATAAGCAAACCAGTCATATCAGAGTAGGACCCACCCTACTTCACTTGGCCTCAACTTCACTTGACTAATTAGATCTGAACAACCCAATTTGCCAATAAGATCACATTCTACCATACCGGGAGTTAGGACTTCCACATGCGAAGTTAGGTGGGTCATGCCCACCTTCACCCGCTGTGTCCCACATGCATTTCCCGGTTATGCAGGGAGAGAGAGAGAGCGCTCCGGTGACTCTTCTTATAAGGACGCTAATCCTATAGGATCAGGGGCCTCTCCCTCCTGAGCTCATTTAGGGGCCCTGTCTCCAAATGCAGCCACAGTGGGGGTCTGGGACTCACCATATGCATTCGGCGGGACACACACATGCAATGTGTAACCACCCACAGCAGGACACCTATGCAACACAACCCTAGTTTCAGCTTGCCACCTGCCTCTAGGTTCTCTTTCGTACAAACACAAAGCTCAGTTGCTTTCTACAGTCTTCTGGGGCAGGTGAGGCAGGTCTTGATCAATACTGAAATAATAAACTGTCCCGTGTTGTACACAAGCCAAACGGCAGGAAATGCAGTGACATGCCGCTGGTCGCTCCCAGCAGCATCTTCAGTCCCGAGGCCAGCGGTTTTCACACTGCTCCCCTTGGAGTCCCCAGGGTCTCGTGGACCCAAGGCTGGTGGGGGATAGAGCGACAAGGGGCCTTGCACACAGGCCCTGGCCCTCCTGCTCCATGGATGAGTCCCCACACAACATGCTATGGATTGATGGTCCACGGCCTGGACAGAGGCCCAACCAGCATCAGCGGTCCAGCTGGCAGGAAGCAGCTCTGCCTCCTTTCCTACAGTCAAAGCGCCTGGAGTCTACAGCCAAGGCCCCTGATCAGATCACCTGGTAATCGGAGAGTCTGACAGACCAAAAGTAAAATGGCCAGTTCCTTCAGCGACTGGACCTGTCACTGGCCTTGCTGCTGTGTGCGGCCTCTTGGTTTGGGGCTCACAGGCAGGTTCATTAACTGGGCCACTCGGCACACTGGTGGTGCCAAGCCCTGGGGCAGCTGGGCCAGCCGCCTCTGCAGGGCCACCCAGCGGGGTTCCTGGCCACCTCTCCAGGTCATAGCTCCCAGCCCATCCTGCTCTGTTATGGGCTGACTTGTGTCCCCCCCAAATTCATATATTGAAGTCCTAACTCCCTCAAAATGTGACTGTATTTGGAGAGTGGCCTTTCAAGAGGCGATTAAGGTAAAATGAGGTCCTATGGGTGGGCCCTAATGCAATGGAACTGGTGTCCTTCTAAGAGAAAGTAGGACCCCAACATGCCTAGAGGGATGACCACGTGCGGACACAGTGAGAAGACAGTGGTCTACATGATGAGGATACAGGCCACAGGGGACATCAAACCTCCAACACCTTGATCTTGGACTTCTGACCCCCAGACTGTAAGAAAACAAATGTTGTTAAGCTGCCCAGTCTGTGGTGCTTTGTTAGGGTGGCCCTAGGGAACTAATATATTCTATGTTTGGAAATCTACCAAAGACAGGCATAAATTAATAGTAAACAAGAGAAAATTTTCTCCACATCTGGACAATCCTTTGCTTTTGTAAGTCTGTTAAAAATAATTTTCAAAAACCCGTAAAATAGTCTTCTCATACAGATATGACAATAAATGTGTTAAAGATTTTATTTACCTCATTAATCTGGGAAGGAACTGGCCAGACACTCTAACCGGTTCAAGAGAAGCCGAAGAACATTCTCAGGTCAGGAATGTTGAGCGAACATGCAATGGAGGCAGCCGAAGCTCTGGTGGACAGGACACAGCTGCGCGCCAGAGGCTGGAGTCACCCTGGTCCCACTGGTCCCAGGCGGAGTCTGGTTTACGCTGTCACACTTCGTGCCTTAACTGTAAGGGGGGACCTTCTGCTTCAACAGGCGTCTGGGACAGCATCGGCGCTCAACAGGATGACAAATAAGGAGCATGTGACGCCTCTTCTTGGGACACATTCCTCAGCAGGGGAGAGAGAATGTGGCCTCACCAAATAGGCCTCTTAGGGGGCTGAGGGGTCAGGCGGGTGAACGCGCTTGGGGGTCCCACAGGGTGCGGCCGACCTGCCCGGTAGCCAGCCAGCCTCTGCTCTGCGGACTGGGGGGCTCTAGTGCCATCTGGTGGCTGGAAGGAAACCCGACACGAAACGCCTGGGTAGTCCATGTGCATTCAAGGGAAACGACTATTTTGTGGAGCAACTGCCTTCTGCCCAGAACTGTGCTCGGCCCTTCAAAACACCCTCAAGCTGAAGGGAGGCGGGATGGGAACATTAGACAGGGATTCAGAGGAAGGCGTTTATGACAGTTCACTACGCGAAAGGCAAAGGAGCGTGTATGGTGTGAACTGGTTACAACTGTGGCTGCATTTATTAGTATCTGATTGCACAGGGAAACGTCTGGAAGGAAAAAACCCACGGTGGAAACAGAGTCCTGCCTCACTGGGGGTGGAAGGTGAGATGATGCCCTGGAAGCGTGGAGGCCGGGCGTGTGGTGTCAGCAAGTGTTAGCTGCTGTCAGCTGCTAGAATCACATTTACCATCATCATCTGTGGGTGAAGAAATTATTTCCCCTTTTTACTTCTGTGTATTTTCTGATTTTCCTCTTTTGTCTATGTTACATATCAAAAATGAGAAATTAAAGGGGAAATTTGTAAAAGCTCCCATGGAGAGACAAGTAGGAGTTTCTGCAGTGTTGTGGCAGCAAGTTGTTCTCTCAAAACCTATCACCGGCCTGGCAGACCTTTGGGTCCGATTCCCGCTGGGTCCGATCCCGGCTTTGGGCTCTGCCACCACCCCACCTGGGACCTGGGGACCCAAAGCTGCGGCCTCCTGGCTGGGTGGGGTTGGACAAGTCCCCTGACCTCCCGCCGTCTCTTTCCTCAGATGTTCCTGGAGACAGTGACAAGATCCACCTCATAGGCTGCAATGAAGCTTAAGCAGGCTGACACTTGTAAAGCTTTTACCCTCATGCCAGGCACAGGGTAAACACAGGGCATCTTGGCTGCTATTGTCTGGCAAGTCACTGCCCATCTCAGGGCATCAATCCAAAGAGGGATCTGGACTAGATCAGGATTTCATAGAGGAAGAAGGAAACAATAGTGCTCAACTGTCAGTACTGCCCAGGAGTCAACAGGATGGGGATGGAGAACGGCCCCTGGGCTAGCAGGGGGACCTGGACAAACCATGTTTCACTGGGGTCACGGGGACAAGAGCTGTCTGACTGAACAGGGTTCCAGAGAGAAAAGAAAATTAGATGGTCAATTCAAGAGGTCTAGTATTTTGACTCAAAGGTATTCTAGGAACATTCCTCAGACAGCTGTTTGTTGAGCACCTACTAAGTGGCAAACGCTGCTCTTGGCACTGAGAACAACAGCAGGAACAGGAGACAAAATTCCTAGGAGCCTATGTCCTGATGGGGAAACAACCAGAATCCATCACAGGTCAGGCAGTAGTGTTGGCGGAACAGAGGGGAGCCGGGGAAGTTGAAGTTTCAGATGGGGCGCCACCTACTGGCACAGACACAAGGTGGGGCCACTGGCCGGCACAGGCACAGGGAGTCTGGTAGGTGCTGGGGCAGCTAAGGGAGGCTCCTGTCTATTTGCTTCTATGTTCTTACAGAAACAGGAAGCGAGATCCTGAGCAGAGGAGCCGGCATGAAGGCACAAAGCCCGGAGGACTGTGAAGACTCAGGGACAGTCCAAGGCAGCACAGGGTCCAGACCAGGCAGGATGAGGCAGACCAGAGGGGGTTGTGGCAGAGACCAGAGCACGGCTGTTTCTCACCAGACTGGCTCAGGCGCGTGTGCAGGACAGACAGGAGGAGGCTGAGCAGGTATGTCTGGTAAAGAAGCTTGGAGGGGGGGTTGTGGCCCGACGGGACATGGGGGTTAGCCTGGGAGGGAGGTGGACAGGGACACGGGGAGTGAGGGGAAAGATGAGTGGGTCATCGTTCTGTAGGTCCCTGTGGGGAGGGGCCAGGATCCCGAGAGAGGAGCGGAGCAGAGGGGAAGAAGAGCAAGACAAGGAGAGGTGACCACTCCTGTGTGACCTCCACACGTCTGGTGTCCCCCAAGCACACGCAGACCATGGTTCTCACCTCACTAGCCGCATGTTTCTGCACAGGTTGCTGCACCCAGGCAGCCTCCCTCTGAAAGCCGGGCGAGCCAGCCATGCAGACTGCACATAGATGATAGTTGGGAAAACCAGGAATTGAACCTGAACCTGACTTCCAAGTTGATAGTCTACTCTGAAACCAAGCTATTTTTCCACAAAAATCCTCACCTCCCTGTTTCCATCATTGGTCCTATTACATTTCTGAGGTAGAGCTGGCCATGGCAGTGTTTGGGGGCTCATTCAAACGCACCAGTCCTTCGTGTTTCCTAGGCAAGGAACATCTGCTGTGACACAGGTAACTGCATTTTCACGTGCTTGGTCCCACTCTGATGTTCTGACGACAGCCCTGTGGACACAACTCGCTCTCAGAGGCCAGCACGAATGCTGGGAAGGAGAGAGGACATGCACATTCACAGGCCTGCCCAGCACCAGACCCAGGGCAGATGTTTTCAAGCAGCAGCTGGGAACCTCCGAGCCTTGTATGAACACTGGAAGACATGGATCTCATACTGCAGGAAAAAAAACCAGAGAAGATCCTGAGAGGCGGAGCCAGCCAGTGAAGGCAGCCAGGATTCAGGCTCTGTCCTGATAGCTTCTGAAGCCCACTGTCCCAGGGTGGCCAGATTGAACCTGGTCTTTATCCATGCAGGGTGAGTCCTCACTGACAGTTTTATGTCACTATGGTCTTTAGATTTATAAAAATACAAGAGGAAACATACATTTTATAGAAAGGCAAATTTCATTTATTCAAATTAAATTATGAGTTTCATATACAAATAAATCTTTGTAAATAAAAATACAAAATGCTACAAATTTTAACCATGTAAAAATGCAAAAATAGTATTTGTATTATCTATTTTCTTTCCTCTTAACATAACCAAAATGTACAATAACTGACCGCAAATCTGCTCTCTACCATGCTTGCTAAAGTCAGTGGGATGGTTTCTCAAGCCTCTGGCTTCTGTGGCACAAGCCTTCTAGTCCTGCGTCTGCCTCCACGGTGAGCCAGCAGGCCTTTGCTCCCAAACCCTGAGCAACGACTGCCGTCCCCAGGAGGGAAGCGGACTCTTCTCAGGCTGGTGAGAAAGCGCCGGCCCAGGGAAGCAGCTCTCCTGAAGTGCTGCCACAGGCCTGCTGAGCTCCGACAACGCGTGTGGCGTGGAGGACTGCCGGCGCAGGGCGTCACTGCTCCAGCTCGTTTTCATTCTGCAGTGTCTTCATCGCCAGCCCCCAGAGAGTCATGCTGGAGAAAAACTGCCCTTCGGAGTTCCTGTATGCCGCGGCCGACGCCCGGCCGCCCAGGGGGTCGCCGCACTGATTGTCCAAAGCGGCCAGAGACGAGCGGATCATGGACATATTGTCAGCCTGCAGCGGCTCGTCGCCGGCTGAGGTGTCCACGTCTGAGTAAGTGTACGCCTCATGCTGCCCCTGCTGCGGCTGGGGCTTCGCAAGTTTAGCAGGATCCAAGCCAAGCTTCTCCTGGTCGCCGGCTCCATGAGGCTGAATCATGGAGCGGAACTTACAGTAGGAGCCGCCAGAGTGGCTGTCAAATTCTGTCACTGACTCTCCCACTGCGTGGACGGGGAATTTGACAGACACCGGCATCAGTGTCACAGACACATCTTGGGCGAGGGAATCTGAGCTCTGAGGCTTCCCCAGGTCGGAGGTCTCGGCAGCCTGGGCAAGCTCCGCCAGGGCTCTGCAGTGCATCTCCTTGTGGCGCCGGAGCACGGCGGAGCGCGTGAAGCACTTGTTACAGGTCGCACATGTGTACGGCTTCTCCCCGGTGTGAGAGCGCACGTGCCTGCGCAGGTCCCCGGAACCCCCGAAGCACTTCCCTGTGGAAGAATGGGAGCCTTTTAGAGGGGGGCGTCTGGAAGGAGTCTCCCCTCCCCACCCTTACAAGCACCCAAGGACTCTCTGACGGGAGCCAGGCCTAGCACCGGTCAGCCGCTCACTCTGGTGAGTCCTGGTTCCTCGCCGGCTGCAGGCCCCTCCACCTGCAGCCTTCTGCTTTTGGGTATCAGGTCGAGGCCTCGTCTTCCTGCACAGAAGTGACTTGATGGCCAAGCCAGGGTGCCTGCCCTGCTGCTGTGCTGGGAAACCTTGTCAATTTCATTTACATTTGCAGTAAACCTAACAGGGCCAGACAATAATTGAGAAGCATCTTTTCTGAAGGTACTTTATGTATTCAGCTTTTAACCTAATTTTACACATACTTTTGGTTCGATTTTCTTTCTCTGTGAATATGACAGAGGTAGGGGATCTGTTTCCACGATTAGACAGTAAATAACCTTGCAGAAGTCATAATATATTGATGAAGGACTGAGAACAGACTACACACTTTATGTGGCATTATGCTCACAACTCCTCACTTATCCACACGCCCCTGTATTTCAATTCTCAGCTGTCCAGCCCTAGTCAAGCAAAAGGGTTTTTGTTTTTGTTTTTTTAAAGCTTTTGAACAATCAAATTGGAAGTCAACGCCCATGTAGAAAATTTTGGGCACTTTTCCCTCCACATAACAAATACTGAAACATACCACAGTAACCTTCCTCTGTATTTTCACTTCTCCATGTTGCCCACAACATTAGGCTGTCTGTCACCTTCACATTTTTAAAGGTTTTAAAGTAAAAATATTTTTAAAGTTTGCTGTATTGTCTTTAGAGTATACATTTTATTCAGATACAACACTTGATGGATTAGAAGCTTCATAACTCTTCCTTAGTTTATTTTGCACTTGGGCTGCTTCCACCTGTTTGCTGCTGCACTTGATGTTCAATTAACACCTTCCTTTTCATTGTTTCCTTAAGAAATCTTCAATAGTGGAATTACTGGGCAAAAGCGGACAGCCATTGTTAGGGTCCTTAATATACACGCAGCAGTCCCCCCTTATCTGTGGCTTCAGTTACCCGAGGCTAACCATGGGCTGGAAGCAGATGGTCCTCCTCCTGGTGCGCCCTCAGAAGGTCGGTGGCAGCCTGACACCAGGTCCCAGCGCCCACGCCATCACCTCCCTGCATCCCGTCAGGGGGCATTTCATCATCTCCTATCATCCCAGGAAGGGCGACTGCAGCCCAGAAGATGTTTTGGGGGTGAGAGAGAGCCCATGTTCACATAACCTTTATTACAGTATATGGTTTTAACTGCTCTGTTCTATTATCAGTTATTATTATTAATGTCATACTGTGCCTCAATATCTAGCATAGGCGTGTGTGTGTCTAGGGAGAAACCTAGTATACATGGGTTCAGTCCTATCCTCGGTCTCAGCCATCCACTGGGGGTCTTGGAGCGTATCCCCTGCAGGTAAGGGGGGACAACTGCAAATTTTAGCCAGGCTCCACATGTCCCTGCCATGAGGTTACAGTGAAATGGCACCTGCCTCCTGTAGCCAGGCAGGTCGGCAGCAGAGAGAGGAGTGTCCCTCCGCACCGGTGCGGGCCTGCAGTCCCCAGAGCACAGACATCAGTGCTCCAGGCTGCACAACGGTCATCCTTGCAGGCGAGCAGCCTGGAGTCAGATTAAATACAGCCTAAGAGGACTGCCTTGGGGGGTGATGAGATCGGAGCAGAGTAAGTTTCCTTGGAGTAAACTGCTAAGAACCAAGGCTAGAGGGAAAAGCCCAGCAGGAAGAAGATGCGTGTCTGCATCCTGGAAAGTGCAGTGACACGCTGGGGGCAGGAAAGGGGGAGGAGACAGGAAGGAAGGCTGTCTTCAGAAGCAGGAGATGAGAGTGGGACAGGGAGAAGGGACAGAGAGAAGGAAGAGCAAGGAGAGGGGAGGCTTTAAACACTGCAAAGCCCAGACTGTGGAGCATCGTAAAACTGAATCTGTCTTTTGAACTCAAGAAAATGAAAAGACACTCTTACACACAAACTTGTACAAGAATGTTCACAGATTTGCTAAGTGAAAGAAGTCAGTCACAAAGACCACATGTCGTATGAGTTCATTTGTATGAATGTCCAGAACAGAGGTGGTCAATCAGTGGTTGCCTGGGGCTGGGGGATAGGAATGGGGAATAACTGCTAATGGGGTGGCATTTCCTTCTGGGGAGATGAAAATGTTTTAAAATTACATGGTGTGAGCTTGTACAACTCTGCAAATGTACCAAAACTACTGGATCTTTCATTTTAAATGGGTTGGTTTTATGGCACGGGCATTTTATCTTAAACTATTTAAAAAACTTGAACTTATCATGTGAGAATGTTCTTGCTCCCTTTCTCCCCTCAACCTGCAGGCTGACGTTGTCCTCAGAACAGGTTAGTGAGGCGAGGGGAGGGAGAGGGAGGCACTTGGGGTGTGAGAGCAGAGGCCCCACTTTGCGTCCCCCTCTTTGGAGGCCTCAGCCAGCAGCCAGTCCTAGCTGGGGACGGGGAGGAACCTTTAAGCTTCAGTCCAGGTGACAGTTGTAACTGACATTTTAAATTGGTGATTTGCGACTGCAGTCAGGATCACTCAGGATCTAAAGTGATGAGCAATCAGTGTAGTCAGGGAGTTGCCTCAATTTGTATACTTTCAATGGGAGATGAAAACAAAATTGCCTTCTGGCCATATCCCGAAGTCCTTCCCTATTTTAGATCCAAGTACGGTTAGAATCTAGAGCCACTCTGAATGGAGCCCCAAGTCCAGGCTTCCCACAGCTGGACTCTGAGCATTCTCCCCATTTGTTCCGAACAGGAAATCATAAAAATGATTACTCACTATTCACCCAGAATTCACTTTGCATCGTCAAGTACTTGCCCACAAGCATACGTGTGCACACAGATGCGCATGTGTGCACACAGGTCCACGTGCACATACACACCTGCCCCAAGTTCTTTGGAAGCTCCAACACTCTGACCACAGGTAACAGGTGACTCAGAGGGCCCGTTCCCCCGTCTGTGCAATAACGTACCTTGAAACTGAGGACTGCCGGCTTTCCTCTCCTTCCCTGATGTGCCCAACACCCGTGGAAACGACATTTGCTCTGTAACAAGTGCTCTCAAGAAGCCCTCCCTTTGACCGCATCGTGTGCACCAGATGCCCAGCATGACAGACAAAGCTGCAGGCCCAGGGCCCACTCTTCAGGCCGCTGTGCTTTGGCACCTGCTGCTGACACCACACTCCCCCACACTTTCCCAAATGCCTATACCCCACCGGTCCATACCGGAAGCACGAGCACCCATGACTCTGCGTCAGTCATCTTTGTACCTGGAGCATTTTAGGACTGCTCTGGGCATCTTCCCTGAAGACCCTCGGTAAATGTCTGACACATACACACAGGCGCAAGTGTGGGGAGACCAGGGAGGGGGAGACCACAGGAGGTGGTACAGAAACAGCACTGCCGCCATCTCACCTGGGAGTAAAGGGATGGCCTAGCTGAGACACCAGCACAGCCACCAGGGGGAGGCCCTGGAGACCGGCACCTCCCACAGCGGGAGGGCCAGGCGGCCCGCGGGCTTGCAGAGCTCAGACACTCACCACACGCAGAGCAGCTGTGGGGCCGCTCGCCCGTGTGCCGAGCTCTGTGCTTCACCAGCTTCCTTTGCATATTGAAAGACTTCCCGCACTCATCGCAGGTAAAGACTTTGTCAGCCGTGTGTGTCTTCTTGTGCTCCTTCAGATTGCTGAAGTTACTGAACCCTAGAGAGACCACAACAGGTGTTCAGCTGAAGGACTGAGGACATTTGCATCATAATCTTCAAGAGAAAAAGGAAAACTCCCAGCTATACCTCGGCCACAGATGTCACACAAGTGTGGCTTTTCTCCTGAGTGAATAATAATGTGACGCTGGACATCACCAGAGGCTGCAAACCTGTAACGTAATTTGGAAACGTGATTAAGAGCTTTTCCACTATACTGCAAACCTTATAACTGCCAAGTTACTGAGGGAGGAGTTGAACTGCTCCTAAATTGCTTCAGAATGTAATCAGAAGTGATCTGATTTCACTAGGAATGTGCATTTTGAAAAATCTTTACGTTTTTCCTTTTTTAAAGGAAAGTAGAAAATAATGTGTTTTGTTTTTAAAACTTTTTTTTCTTCCTAGTTTCATTAATCTTTTTTCTTCAGAGATGGTCACTGACTCGGCTCAGGGAGTTAATTCCAACCCAGGCTCCTAGATGTAAAAAGCTATGCTCTTTCCTTGCCATCCCACTTGGTAGAGCAATACAGTACATCTGGGGGACGATGTTGCATATGTGACTTTAAATGCATGCCTTACTTTTAAGTGCAGTTCAGAAGGTCACATTTAAAACATCACTCGAAATGTAAGACATTCAGGACCACAAATGAAGGGATACCATGGGAAACAGCAGGGGTTCTTGCTGCCAGGCACTTGAATCAAGCAGTGCATGACACCTGGGCACTGACTGAACTTGGCCTCAGTGTTCAGGTAGTTATGGCAGAAAGGGAGCCATGCTGGGCTAGGTAGCTTTTCTTTGTTTTCCACCATCTGCACAGACAAGGTTTCCTGGCACTCAAGCAAGCATTGCTTCTTCTGTGAATGGTTAAATGAGTGAATGAATGAAATGCTATGTGACTGGTGCAGTCAGTCCTGGTTGATGCCTACTGACCTAGCATGACCATGGCATGAATGTATGGACCCCTGACAAAGGACCCAGGGAGGAGCAGGGTCCACGCTGCAGGCCTACATGCCCACAGGAGGGGCGATCTCCTCGGGCTGCATTCCATCTCCAGAATCAGACTCTCTGACCCAAAATCAATCTCACCGCCCCAAACAAATCCCTCTACCCCTCTTGCCGCAGAACTTTCAGTCCTCACAGATCCGGCTGGGGGCACTTCCTACCACCCTCTCCTCTGCAGTCAGGCATTCAGACTGCAAGGCTCATTTCCATTACTAGACAGTCACCTCCATGGGGGCATCCATCTATTTTAATAGACATTTTTCGACTGAATGGAAGTTTTAGCATAAAATAATTTTATTTCATGTAAAATCCTATTTTTTAAGACTTGTGACCTGGATTTTCTTTCAGTGAACACCCCTTTTTGTTATTCTCATGGGAGCCACAAGAAAAGCCAGAGGGTTGGGCTTTACCTATGTTGCTTAGTGACAGTGACCCACAAGGGGCTCCAAGATGCGGATCTGCAAAAACATCCAGACAGACTACACATGGCAGAGTAAGCCCAGAACTGACCTCTTTCCGCAGATTTCGCAGATGTATGGTTTTTCACCAGAGTGCCGGCGTAAGTGAGTCTGCAAGTTACCTGCCTGCAAAAATGAAAAGAAAAAGCATGCCAATAATGAAAAGTTTTTTTTTAAGTTGCATAAATTCAAAAGGAAAACTGACAGGTTTAGCCAGATTCTAGTCCAACTTACAGATGACTACATACATATGACTCAAAAGAAGCTGTGTGCGAGGTGATAGAGGACTGGCACGGTTGTGCCTAGGGAGTGGCCCCTGCCCAGCATTCTGCTCAACACAAGCGCATGTCAATTCTCCAAAGTGCCCGTTGTGAGCCGCTGGCCGTTCCTATCACAGGCGTGCACTATGCTTCCCTCGTAAACAGGCCTGACACACAGTGGAGGCTGCTCCAGTGGCTGCTAAGCTTGTATTCAAACGGGCTGCTTTGAAACTTGCATCATCGACAGGCAAGCATCATTTACAAAAACAAAAGGCAGCCCTTGTATCTGGTCGCTGCAGTGATCACTGTTTCTTTGAACACCATTCTTTTACTCCTCAAGAGGGGAAGACACTGCCAAACAGCATAGTTGTTCCGTCTGACAGCTCTGTCTTTTTCACCTTTGTGTAAAACACAAACCAGGAGATTTCACAGTAGTCATATAGATGCAAGGCTTTTCATGTTCCTATTTTCTGAAACTAACAGGGCTTTATAAAGAATAATTTATTTAAATGAAGATCACAAAATACATTTCTATGTAATCAATAGAAAATCAATATTAAATTGGCTAAAAGTACAATAAAATTAACAGAGCAAAAGCCTGAGATATTTAAAAAGCTCCTCAGTAATGTTTCAAATTAGAACTTGGAAACAAAATCTGCCATTGCTGTAATTTAATAGTCCCAATCTATCATTTCCCCTACTTTACTTTTTATAGTGTTCTGTTTCAAGAACATTGAAATGAATGAATATACCCACGGGTAGTAATGTGCAGGCATTATGCACAAAATAAGCCTAAAAAGGAGATTGATCAGTAATATTCAATTAACAAATTTGGCTTTGTAAACCTGCAAATTGAATTTTAAATAGAATGCAAAGACAGTTTATGGTTATGGGTTGGAAGATAGGACTGAAGTACACTTGTGAGCGGAAACTTACTAGTAGAAAAAATATGCTGGTGAATTTTGTATTATATAAATGGATGGTTATGTCTAATCAATTCTAGGGACTCACTGAATTAGATACTACCTTTCAGAACATGATCAATATGGTTTAGAAAAAAATTCAGTTTGTTTTATGTAACTAAGGAGAATGAAGACTGGCAAACCACTGGGAAATATCCAGCTTTTAACAGAATGACCATCAATACCAAGAGTAAAACCAACATCAACAGCAATACTCGGTATGATGAGGGCCTTTGCACGCACTACCAAGTGCCCTTAGGAACTGGTGTTCCCATCTCCACCTTCTGGGCGAGAAACTGACGTTTAAATAAAGCAGCTACTCCTGTTAACGTGGTTGGGCCAGGAATTAGGACTGGTTTGAGTCTAAATGCTCATCGTGCGTGAGGGGAAAGCCTGAAAGCATGCATGTTTCTATGAATAAACTGTCTTGTGTTGAATATCTAATATGACGACATCACTGTGATTCAGGAAGCAGCTCACTGGAGTTCAGATAATGCACCAAAGATTGTTTTACATCAGTGAGTTCCAAATTTCACAAAAGCTCATCAATTACATAAACAGCACGGTCTGCTCACCTGCTGATCTAGACTCACTTGTTTCAAGTTATTTTGAAAATTATATATTATGACTGAAATGCAATCTGAGTCAATTCTTAGCAATGATGCATTTTTCCTTTTAAAATAAACCATAACAATTACTCGTTTTCAAATCAAGTATAACAGAATGGTGTTTCACTCAGTATTATAATAAAGAGTAAAGAAAAATACTTTAAAATGTCTCTTTAGCTATTTAATATTGGATATGTATAATGACAATCTTCCCCCAGATCAAGGAGCACATAAATAGTATAAAAGCAGATTAAATAATAAAAGATTCAGGCAAAAAGAGTCCAATAATGCCATCAATAATTTATAAATTACACAGCAAACTGGGGCCCTGATCATCTGACCTTTAGTCAAGTAGCTATTTTTGGTAAACTTTGATACACTATAATACTCATTATATGCTAAGTACACAGGCCCCCTCTTAGAAATTATCTGTAGTTGGATATATGAAAACTCCAGCAAGCAGTAGTAATCCTAACAGCAACCTAGAAAATAGGTTTCTAGGAAAGAAGCACTGGGCTAAGCAGCTGCAAACAGCATTGCACTCAGCCCCCAAGGTTCCGTGTGAAGCAGCCGCACTTGCCGTGTACAGGACAAATGCAGCTGCTGGGGGACAGGGGCCGGCCTCCTGCAGTCAGCATCCAAGGCCCAACCAGGTTTGCCGGCTTCCGCTGCACTGTGCTGTTCAGCCTTGCTACACATTTAAGCTCTGAAGGAAGACCTACTCTTTCTAAGCAAATTACCATTTTAAATGATGGTGGACTTGTCAGAATTTTGAACAGAAAAACTGCTGCAGGAAAGAACATCTGATTTTTTTAAGGAATGAACTCCTTCCAAAATGCATTTGAACATCGGAATTTAAACCTGCACAAATCAAGTGTGTGCCCTCTCTCAGAATACTCTCTAATAGCAGCTAACTGTTTGGGTTTGCACAGCTCCACGGGGGGATGGAACCATGGCTCTGGCAGCAGGCCACATCGGTGGCCTGAGTGCGCCTCTAAGCTGCCTCCGCACAATCGTGCCCTGGACCCAGACGCTGTGTCCCTCCAGACAGCACAGTAGAGAGGACACAGCCTCTCACTGCCACCTTCTGCACCAGCGGCTCAGTGTTTCCAAGTCGGCCTCCAGAGAGATGAAAACAACTCTTCCTCTCCCCAAGGGCAGCCAATGACATCAAACAGCCCTTGTCCTAGTTCTCATGTGGCGGGTGTTCTGGACCTGTCACTTAGTTTCATCTCTGGATACCCCAGACAGCCCAGGCCCTACACACAGGAGACAAGTCCCTCAAATGGAGGCTCACTCATTCTCTGCAGCACAGAGTGACGCTTATGTCCTGAGACCCAGGCATACATGGTGTCCAGAATTGTACCGATAGGTTTATATTCTGCTGTCACAATCTAGGGTTGTTGCTTTCAAAGCTGATGTGTCATGCTGCTGACTCATCATTATCAGTTGTGGTTAACTTTTGTTTTCAAGACTAACCCTACTAAATACTAAATTGAGTGAACAGCATAAAAGATTCCTTCTTATTGGTAAATCTGTTTCCTAACTTCTGAATCTCCCAGAAGGGAAAATATTTACAAAGTCACTTGTACCAAAGCAAATGCTCGGCAGCATTCCCATTCATCACAGCCACAAATGTTTAATCCACTTCATTATGAGAAGGGAATGTTTGGCTTAAGGCAAAGGTCGGGTTGGCGGCATTACAAAGTGTCCCTGTGTAAATAACACGACTGCTCTCTCTTGACCCAGAGACTCGCCAGCGATGTCAGGCTTACCTCGAGGGCTCGCCTAAGCCCTCTGCTAATACACGTTCTGTCCTCACTCCCCAAACACCACCCCCTCTGGTAGAATGACTGCCCTTTTTGCCCATACTGTCCCCTGTATATATTTCTGTCACAGCACTTCTGACATTTTGTTGCACTTTTTTGTTATATATCTTTTTCTTCCTCTAACAACAGGCTCCTCTGAGCCTTACCCATCTCTGCTCCCCAGCACATGGCAGAGCTCCTCGGGCACTAAGCCTGCAGCAAACACTCGGAGAATAAAGTTTTTTAAGTCCTTGTTGACAAAAATTTCATCACGTTACTATGAAGTAAAACACCAGTATATATCTATATGTAGTAACTCTACATTCATAAAATTCAGACAGAAATGCAGACACCAACATGGAAGGAGGGTCTCTTCTGGCAGACAGGGGTGCCCTTGGCAGGACTCAAGAGGGAAAGTGCAGGGCAAGGACTGCGGCAGTGTCCCCAGCCTAGCTGCACATCAAAACTGCTGCATTAAAAAAGTACCAGCATGCGAGCCCACCCCAAACCAACAGAATCCGAACGTCTGAGGATGGGGCTGGCATCAGTGCCAGGAGAAAGCTGAGGGCAAACCCCGGATGCCTGGGTGTCAGGTTTACTTTATCCTGTTCGCAGTGAAGAGTCATCGAAGACTTCCACACAACAGAAGGACAGAATTTAAACTGTCATCACAGCCTAAACGGATAAAGGACTTCCGTGTCCATTTTTTCACTTAATCTTCCTAATATTCCCATGAGGTAGTATTCTCCCTATTTTAAGAATAAGAATGAGGCCCAAAGAAGCTGTCATTGCTAATTCGTGCTCATTAATGCCAGGACTTGGGCTTTCCTGCTATATGGAAGCAGGTCAAGATTAAAATGGTGGTGGTGGTGGGGAGCGGGAGTGGCCTTAGAAAGACGGGTGTGTGAGAGCAGAGAGGCCTGAGGAGATGCGACGAGAGAGAGGACCTGGCCATGGGCCAGGGCAAGTTTTCTGAGCTCTGTGTGCCAGGCTGGAGTCCACACACTTCATCAGGGGGCACTCTACTGGGGGCAACAACCTGACTTCCTGGTTTCACAGATTGGGAAGCTGAAGGGCCTCAAGGTTAGAGAGCTTGCCCAAGGTCACAGAGTAAACCCGAGGCAGGACTGAGATGCAGGCTGTCCTGCTCTAGAGTCTAAGCTCTGAAGCCCCCGGCCAGGCTGGTATGAAGAAGAGAGGGCCTCAGCGAGAACGGCAGCAAAGGAACCACGGCCCTGTTCAGCTCAGCACAGCCTTGCTACGTGTCTGGGTGGGCCGATGGTCCCCCAAAGGACAGATGAGGCACCCCCACCTGCACTAACAATGCAAAGCGTGCTGTCAGGACTTGGTGAAGGTCAGGAAGATGGCAGGTCTGCGTGTGCTGGAGACGGATGGAGGGGAGGCTGGAAGGGCTGGCTCCGTGGGAAAAGCAGCCAAAGGTGGCGCTGTTCTTGCTGTTGGCTGCTCCGCAGGGCCTATCAGCCAACTCTGACCAGACCAGAGGCCTCTACTCCTCCAGCAAGGCCCCACCCGAGTCCTGTTCACAAACAGCGTCTGCACACACACAGTGCGAGTAAAAGCGTGTGTGTGGAGCCTCTTCCCTCGGCACGACGGTGTGCTCATGCCCACGCACAGCTTCTGCTCATTCACCCCTGCGACGCCAGTGCCCAGACCCAGGTGGACGAAATCATTTCTTCCTTTTGCAGAAGGGAAGTAGGTTTCTACAGCCTATACTCAACATTTTCTCTGGAATATGAAATCTCTCTGTTTCTTTACGTCGAGGGCCAGATCAGCGCATGGCCCAGGGGAAAGCACAGCCATGGCGGCCGAATCGGAGAATTAAGACATGTCCAAACGATCATCATAGGGGTCGACTTGGAGGTACTACAAGCACGGAATGAAAACTGGTCTGCAGGTATGCTTCCTAGGGTTTCCTGGGGGATTCGCTCAGGATCCGTTCACACCTACAAAAATGGCATTTTCCCTCAGTGAACTAGAATTGTGCTTCCTGATTTAGTCTGAAGTCTTCTAAGAACTGGCATCATCAGAGGCTTCCTCACAAGTCTAAAAGAATGTCTCATTTGTAATAAAAATAAACACTGGGTTTCACGTTTCCAAATTATTAACAGTAAATAAGAGTATTCCCACCTGAGAGAAGTGTTTCCCACAAATGTTACATTCAAAAGGTTTCTCACCTAAAAGAAAACAAAAATAACAACTTGTAAAATCATTAATAACAGTTACACAATAGCTTTCTTTAAAGTGTTTAAGCATCTCCTGGGTCCTACCTTTCAAAACAGAACATGAAATTCCTTGTTGTAAGAGTATGAAAATGGGAGTCACTACACCCTTATAATTCTCTCTCACCCTTACATGACAGGCAGAGGTGATAAAAGTGAAATCTGTATTTACTTTTCTCTAAAACTTAAATTGCTCTCCAAATATAAACCTGTGTTGAAATCAACTTATTTATTTGCATTCAAAACACACGTAGGTTTTGGGCATGGTCTTTCCTTCGGTTGAAAATCACGTGAATTTTCTGCTGAACAGCATGCGCCACGCTCACCGGCCCTGCAGCCGGGCTCCTCTACTTCGCCACCCATGCCTAAGAGAACCAGGGAGACTCCTGCACACCTCACGAGGCACGAACACGGAGAGCCCACAAAGAGCGGGGCCTCCTGCAAGTGTGGCTGGGAGGGTGCCCGCTCCACGGCCCATCAGCCTCAGCTGACACATGCTACTGGGGAAAACAAGACTCCAGTATGGGGTGTGTGCTCCCCGTCCCCTCTTCCTCCTCAGATGTTAGTGACTCTGATGACCGCACTTTGGTACAGGATAGGTGCAGAGCGTGTCCTCTCCTACCGAGGAGCCACAGCAGCTCTGAACAAAGGCCCTAGAACACTATCTATTTAAACGTACATCAAGGTACCACCTTTAACTTACATAAATGCAGTTTGGAGACCAAGAACCTTCCATTTCCCCCATTCCTCTCACATCAAGTGGTTATGAAGATCCTCTTTAGAGCAGAATGTCTCCTTTCTTCCTGTACTGTCAGGGCTCACTAGCTTTCTGGGTTCCCACTAGGATCTTTCCCTGTAACTGTTTCACAGTTTCTTCAAGGATGAGGGGGAGCTTCCAAGAGTAATTATAATCACATTAATTCTGTATTTGGGGGCTCCATTTATGTCTGGAATTGTGGGGATAATGGGTAATGTTAAGTTAAAGCCCCTGCTACGAGATACGAATTCGAGAAAAGAGGTCCCTGATAATGAGACTCCCAGTGATCAGGGTGAAGAACCCCGCTCCCAGGGTTCTCAAACTTTTTGGTCTCAGGACCCCTTCGCACTCCCAATAACTGAGGACCCTCGAGAGCTCCTGTCTATGGGGGCCGTATCTGTTGGTTTTGTCCATATTAGAAATGAAAACTGAGTGATTTTTTTCAAACACATGACGAGACACATCACTGGCCTCATCCCACGTCCTCAGCCTTTGGCTCAGCGCACTGTACACTCGTGGAAGGAGAAGGAAGAGGCGAGTAACAGCATCCACTACGCGGGAAACGGTTTTGGCTGCACAGACCCCGCACAGGGTTCCCAGACCGTAACTTGAGAACCGTTGCCCTTCTCCATAGTGTACTGATGTTCCGGTAAACATCTCTGCCATATGACTGTATGGCTATGTCACCATTCAAAGATGTTATCCCAGAACGAACAATTTAATGTTTTTTCCTTTAAAACTAAACAGTTATGTTGCTCAAATAAAAATTATCTTTAGTCTCTAGGAAATTTAAGCAAACAGAATGACCTACATTGTTTTTTCAAGGCAAAACTGGGTCAATAACACTGCCTTCGGAGGGGCAATTTTGAACTACTACTGATAATGATGACAGTACTTTACATTCAAACATATTAACACTTATAAAGGGCTTTCATAAGCAGTAAGTCTCTCAACAATACAGTGAGGTGATAAACACCTCAAGCAGCCTGGAAACCCACAGTGCAAGCGGGACGTCCCATCAGGAACCGCAATTACACAAGCACCTGACAAGCAGTTGTTTGGGATGCATCCTGTGGCATATTGCTTCTTATGCCCATAAAACAACTGTCATAATTTAGACTATGTATTAAGAGTCATCATGTTAAATTATAGGAGGGAAAGCAATATATACATATTGTATATAACAGTTAAAACAATGTTAGGAAAAAATACACGTTATGGAAAGGGGAGGAGGTATGAATTAAGGTAATAAAACTGAAAATTCAATGTTCAAAATGGGAAACTTTTCATTGGAAAATATCAAATGGTTAAAGCTGATCCTTATAAAACAGTTTACCTCCTGCCTCCCAAACCACAATTTAAAAAACCTGATATTCAAATTACTTTCCAGAGAACTTTTAGAATTACTTAAACTATTTTCGTTAATTAACCTAGATTACACTTTCAAAAAATGCACTTAATCCAATCCAAGAGACAAGTAAATAGAGCTTATCTGTTTTAGAATGTATTTGAAACTTTCAGTTCATCAACTTAATAGACTATACTTCTTTAGAGATGGAAAGTTTATCATATACAAGCATCACTAAAATATGCCAGCTCGTCAAACTGGTTCTATGAAAGCATCTACAGAACTTTAGTATTGTAACACTTCTTGGTTTTGGGGGTAAACAGCAATGACGTACTCAGGCAACAGCAACACTTCTTACAAACACGGGAGCAGGCAGTGGTGGATGGGCACCTGCGTTACCTCCTTCCCTTTGGCCTGCGGGCCCTGAATCAGTGTACCTGTATGAGACCGTCTGTGAAGCTCCAGATTGCTTGGGTGCTTAAAAGGCTTTCCACACAATTCGCACGCGTACTGTCTCTGTGCCTGCAGTGTCTGGGACTGGTCTTCCAGCGCTGCGGGGTCTTCGGGCCTCTCCATTTCATTAATGCAATTAAAATTGTCAGAATTGACGAGTTCTTCACCTTCTTTTTCTTCAGCACTTCGGCTGCTAGCTTTCTCCATCGTACTTTCACTAGCAGATTCTTTCCTCTTTGTTCTTCCATCATTTGACATGGGTTCAGATATTGGCACTGCAGATTTTTGTGATTTTAGGAAATTCAGCTTCTTAAGGTGAATGGCCTTTTTGAGCCTCATCTGTTTGGTAGGTTGTTGGCATGTGTTGTCTGACACAGGGCCTGCAGCAGATTCACTCAATGGCTGGGCCAGGAAGGTGGAAGGCAAGTGCTCAGAGGACTCCAGGACACACTCGGAATGACTGACAGCACAAGGCTGGCTTTCTGCGGCACTGAGGTCTGTAGACGTGCTGAAAGTGAAAGGCTGCTCAGTAGCTCTCTCATGACTGGGACCAGTGGCCTGTTTATAGTACTGCTTACTGTAAAAGTTTCTGAGTTTGTAGTAGTGATTTGGCCGTTTGCAAGGCAGTTCTGTGCGGCTGCCATCCAAAGAATCAGGGGCTTGTTTTGATGTTTCACCTGAAGAATGATGAGGACTAACCGACAGTGGAGCATGAGAATGCGATGCCTCCAAAACTTTACTATGCTGGACCTCGGCCGAACACTCTTGCAGCAAATGCGGAGGGTAGTTCTCACTCATGGCACAATTAGTGTCAGGAGTCAAGGCGCTTTGCAGGGAGAATGTACTGTTGCAGGGCATGCCAGGTGGCTGTTCTACAGCGGCTGATTTTAGATATGTGTGACACAGATTGAGAACATTCTGAACTTGCAGACACTGTGCTATGTCCAGCATTACTTGTATATTGTCCTGGGTAAGATCTAGATGAGAAGTGTACATGAAGTCCAGGATCTGCCCAATGCCGCTTACATTTTTAATATCCAAGTGAAAAACATCATTTTTCTGGCCTGAAGAATTTTGAAAGAGGTTCCTGATAAAAGAAAGGATATCTGTTTATAGTGTTAACAATTCACACATTCTGGTGACTTTTTCTTGTAGTAGTATTCATATTAGTATTCAAAATTACTGTCCTATAAATGCCAAGACTTTAAAATTAAGTATGTTTTAATTCTTTAAAAAAAATTGGCAAGCCATCCAATAAAGCAATTCAAATGAATTAAATTAGTGTGTTGGGTACCCAATCTTCTGAATAGACTTCAAAGTAAAATTCTGAAATACTGTACAGCAAAGGACACTATCAGCAGAACAAAAAGGCATCCTACAGCATGGGAGCATATGTTTGTTAATGACATATCCGACAAGGGGTTAACATCCAAAATACATAAATAACTCACACGCCTCACACCCAAAAAGCAAATAACCCTATTAAAAAGTGGGCAGAGGATATGAACAGACATTTCTCCAAAGAAGAAACTCAGATGGCCAACAGGCACATGAAAAGATGCTCCACATCACTAATTACCAGGGAAATGCAAATTAAAACCACAATGAGATATCACCTCACACCAGTTAGGATGGCCAACATAGAAAGAATAGGAACAACAAATGCTGGTGAGGATGCGGAGAAAGGGGAACCCTCCTGCACTACTGGTGGGAATGTAAACTAGTTGAACCATTGTGGAAAGCAGTATGGAGGTTCCTCAAAAACTAAAATCAGAAATAGCATTTGACCCAGGAATTCCACTCCTAGGAATTTACCCTAAGAATGCAGTTTCCCAGTTTCAAAAAGACATATGCACCCTTATGTTTATCGCAGCACTATTTACAATAGCCAAGAAATGGAAGCGACCTAAGTGTCCATCAGTAGATGAATGGATAAAGAAGATGTGGTACATATACACAACGGAATACTATTCAGCCATAAGAAGAAAACAAATCCTACCATTTGCAACAACATGGATGGAGCTAGAGGGTGTTATGCTCAGTGAAATAAGCCAGATGGACAAAGACAAATACCAAATGATTTCATTCATCTGTGGAGCATAAGAACAAAGCAAAAACTGAAGGAACAAAATAGCAGCAGACTCACAGAACCCAAGAATGGACTAACAGTTGCCAAAGGGAAAGGGACTTGGGGGGTGGGTGGGAAGGGAGGGAGAAGGGGAATAAGGGGCATTACGATTAGCACACATAATGTAGTGGGGGGCACAGGGAAGGCAGTATACCATAGAGAAGACAAGTAGTGACTCTATAGCATCTTACTACACTGATGGACAGTGACTGTAATGGGGTATGTGGTAAGGATTTGATAATGGGGGGAGTCTAGTAACCACAATGTTGCTCATGTAATTGCATATTAATGATAACAAAGGAAAAAAAAAGAAAAAATTAAAATATATTCTCATTTCTCTTTTGCAAAATGTAACTAGCCATATGTATTATTAATTGCACAGAGTATAGAAAACTAAAGGACACATATTTTTCAATATTTCTTATTTAGTCTGACAATTATATTTCAGGCTATAAAAACATACAAAAATCTCTAAGTGCCTTAAAAACAGCTAAATATAAAAGTAGCTTTAATAAACCAACCCTCAATATAAAATCACTTTAATTTTAATTTTGTGGCAAAATATACATATTTGCCATTTGAACCATTTTTAAGTGGCTAAAAATTTTACACTTATATGGTGCAAAGGTAAATTCAGTGGCATTCTCATTGTTGAGCAACCATCCCCACTATCCATCTCCAGAACCTTTTTATCATGCCAAACAGAAACTCTGTCCCCATTAAACCCTAATTCCCATTACCCTCTGCCCCTCAGCTCCTGGTAACCACCATTCTACTTTCTATGAATCTGACTACTCTAGGGACTTGATATACATGCATTTTGAGTCAGTGACTTATCTGACTGTTAGGGGTTTTTTTCAGCAACCCAACGGTCCATAAGCAAGCAGTGAGAAAAGCTCTATGAGTTCATGAGGGAAAAAGGCACCAAAAAGCCCAAGCACTTAATTATGGAAACATGTCAAAAGCACAGGTGAACGAATTTGTTCTGTGTATAAACTACCAAGCTGAGTTAGGTAAATTGTCTTGCAAGTCTGCTGAAGACATTTTATCAAATGCAACCACCTATTTCCCCAAAACAGCCTTCAATTATCTTCTTACGCAGGAAAGTACAAATGAGAAGGGGAGGGGGAAACTCAAAGCAGCCAACATATTACAACATCTCACCCCAACTGTCCTGGGAAGATAGAAGAAGCAGACAACAGCAAAGCCTGAGTCTGGGACCACTCTGCATAGGGACAAAAAGTGCTGCCTACCTTGGAGAGCTGACCCACTATCATTTGTACTCAGAACACACACAACAGCTGAGGTTTAACTGGCTGGTTTGGGATTATCAAGGAAAGAATAAAGCATGTTCCATATATTGTTTACTAGAATAGTAAAATGGTGTTTTTGGAAAAAAGTACTAAAAAAGGCTTTAGTGCTTAAAGAGAGATAAATCTCAGCTAATCAGAAAATGTATGTAGAATACTTAAGTTTAACAGTGTTAAAACAAATGAAATATTACTGCTTGATACTATTTAAAAGTAAATCTTTCATATAAGCAAAAATGATGATGGGGAATAAGTAAATTGAGTTCAAACCTGCTTTCTCAGAATATTCAAATGAGAAACAAAAACTAATTAAAAAGCGACAACAACAGCATGTAGGATGTTTTCCCTTCTCTAAATTCTTGTCACAGCAAAGTTCTTACCAAGAATTCTATTCCTTAATATCTTTTTATCCTGAGAGGACAAGAAAATATATCTACAAGGCTGACATAAATTAGGATTACCTAAAATCAAAGACAAAGTGCCAAAATACTCTTGATCATCCCAAATGTATTTTTAGTTACAAGGCTCTTTCCCCCTCAGGTCTCTCTAAATATAAAAGCAGAAAACCCACAATGTGCTACAAAAGATAAGGACAGTGAAATCCAAGGATATTAGTCAAAATATTTCCATGCTAGATGAGCATTTTCTCTGTACATTTAGAAGAGGGTCTAAAATACGTACCTAAAATACTGACTGAACGCTGCTAGCACGTTCTTATGTGCCTTAAAGCAGACTCCTTTCACCACCAGCATACAGTCACAAAGCAGACCCTGAATGCGCTGCTCGTGCAGTTGCTGGAGGAGATGGCAGCTGTGAGTAGCCACTGGGTCCATGCTCCACCATTCAAGACCTATGACAAAGAGTGTGGACAAGAGAGCGATTCTCAGTGACATGACCGTAATGGCACCATAATCACAGACTGATCAGTGATGCACTGTCATGGCTCCCCATCCCAGTCAGTTAAAACAAACAAAAACAAAACAAAAATTTTGTCCTATGCCTCGAGACCAGTGCTGTCCAACAGAGCTACCTGCTGTGATGGAAATGCTCTACGTTTGCCCCGTTCCATACGGTAGCTGGTAGCCACATGCGGCCACTGTGTGCCTGAAATGTGGCTAGAAAGGTCAAGGAACTGAACCTCTGATGTAATTTATATTTAAGCAGCCGCCATATTTAACGGTGAAATTCTAGGAAATGGCCATGATAATACTACATGCATTTCCTTCGTTTCTACTTAAGAATATTTCAATGAAAAAATATACATACATGAACACTCATAAGGTTAGAAAAAAGGCAACTGGGTAAGATCAAGTCAGTATTTACTGAGCACTCGTACATGGGACACTGAGTTAGAAGCTGAGGAAACTTAAGAGCTTCTTTGGGGAGGTAAGGTACAAGTCAGTGATAAAAGGGGCATCGCAAGGCAGCACAGCCACTGACTCATTCCTTGGGCCTCTCTGATAAGGCACCACATTAGCAGCGCCCTGAGGGGAGGAAGAGAGAAAGTCACACAGGTGCCTGGGGCAGAAATACTAGCAGGAGGACTTCAAGGCCAGAGCCTGCTGACCTGAAGGGCCTGCTGAAGCCCAGGAAGTGGCAGGACACGACTTGGGGGGGAGCGGGAAGTGGCAGGACACGACCTGGGGTGGGGAGCAGGGAGAAGGACAGACCAGGTACTGGGTTCCAGGGCTAGGACAATGAGCAAAGCATGCCAAGCCCTGCCCTCGTGATGCTTAAATTCTAGTGAGGTACACAAAACACAACTAAACAAAATGTAGTATTTAGAGCTAGATAAGAATACACAGCTGGGTAATGCATGGGCTCTGACATTCAGCTCAGCCTAGCAAGATGTGATCAATGGGCGAGGAATAGTGGGGAGAAACAAAGACAGAATGGGACAAGATACAGGGTTAAAATGCCAGTTCGGTACACTAAAAACCTAAAAAGCCATTCTCTGCTTCATCTTCAGTGCACAAGCATCACTGAAAAAAGTCATGAAACTCCAAAGCCAAAATTGCAGCTTTTAACACAGCCCCAACTTCAACCATATTATTATTACCTCATCTCCTAATACTCCCAGTGTGGCCGGCTGAAATAAGCTACTTGTGGCTCCCCAAACAAGCTGTGTTCTTGGCCAGTTTTGGAGCCCCAGTCCACTACTCATCAGCTCACAACCTCAGACAAATGACCTCCCCATGTCGTATTTCCTCAATCTGCCTCACAGGTTACTGAGGTAGTTGTGAGAATTCACACAAACATTTAGAAGAGAAACTGGCACATACAATTTTTCAACAATTGTTATCCACAAGGAGGGCCTGGAGAGCCTGTTAACAACGCAGATCCCGGACTCTGTCCCAGAGTTCTGTTTCTGTGCAGAGCTGGGGCACAGGCACCTCCGTTTTACCATCCGGGCGGCTCTGAGGCAGGCAGATTGCAGTCCTCTGCCTTGCTCTCTCCCCCAAAAGCCTTCGGTTCCGATACTTCCTGCCCTGGGAATAGTTCATTGACATCCAACTCTCCACCTTCCAGACAGCTCCCATTCCCCTCTCCCTGAAGCCTTTCCTGCCATTCTGAACATGTTCTTCATTCCCCACTGTTCTCTCTCCAAGTCTGACTTTGGGGTCCCTCCTCTGCGATCTCACAGCACCCTGGACACACTTCCATATGATAACATCACTACTGTCCATCATTTGTGTGCCCAACTGTGCTGTGAGCTCTGAGGGCACCATCTTAGCCTCTCTGCCTGGCACGCACAGATATTCAATGACTACAATTTATGCTAGCTAACTTCTGCTGCTAATCACTGGTGGTCTGTAATGATTTTATTTGTCTTTTTGACTCCCTCTACATTCCCCACAACAGTTCTTCCCATTACTTTCATTCTCTTCATGCCACAACGTCTGTCTCCCTCATCCTAAGAATGACAGTGACCCTGACTTAACTCGGGAGGCTGAGACCCTGGATAACCTGCTAGGAGCCATTCGCAATTCCTAATGTCCCACTCAGCCCGCCCTCAATCTCTCTGGCTTCACGGCACTAAGGGTGCCTTCTCCTGGCCAAAGCCAACTTCCTTTGCCCTATCCCCGTCCCCGCTGTCCTCTGCACCAGGACTCTGCTTCATCACCTCTTTCACTGCTTCACCCTGTCCCCCAGGGGCTCACCCACTCCTACAAACACAAGATCGCCCAGGATGAGTAAAAGCAAACAACGGGATCCTTCCCCAGACGCATCTATTCATCACAGGCCTCTTTCTTACACTTTTCAAAATAGCAGCCTATGCGTCCTGCTGCTTGCTTATGGCTCCTTCCTCCCCTTTTCCCCTTGCTACCATGCCTGCTGTGCCCAAACAGAAGTGCCCACAGCGGCCTCCCCTCAGCCCCACCCTCCCACTCCCCTGCAGCTTGTGGCCGTGACGTCTGCCCACCTGCACTTTGAAATGCCTCCTTCCCCAGGGCTCCCCTGGATCTCTCACTATACCCCTGATCCGCTCCATCTCTGTGCTGCACTTCCTCCTCTGCAGGCCCCCAAACGTTGATGTTCCTTAAGATTTCAGCACCTGAGTCCCCTTTCTCCCTTGACAATCACATCTACTCTTGGTCTTCATCTGTTCTAAGCAAACAACTCCGAAATTTCATACCACCCATTCCAAATGTCCAGCCTTCTGCTAAACATCTACAATTCTGTGACCCTTCAACTTGGAATATCCAAAACTCATCCCCCATCACCTCACCCCCAGCTCTATGCCTTATATTCTTATTCTATTTCCTAATGGAAAGCCTAGTTTATACTATGTAGAGTTTGGGTACTGGCATGGCCTTCTGGTTTGAGATCAGGATGGGATTCAGAGAAAATGGACTAAAGGTGATGTCATCTATAAAGGGCAACCCCAAAACACTGCGGGGGGGGGGTGAATTACACTGCCTGAAACAACACAGAAAGGGAAGCTTTATGGCTGGTGGGGGGGCACTGCCCTCAGTGATGAGTCCTCAATGGTACTGAAAAGCCAATGACTGAGTAAATCATCTACCTACCCATGCCCCACTGATGTCTTGAAAAGAAAAGGATCTTTGGCTTATTATCATTAGCTTTCATTTATTGACTATTTATTATGGGCCAGGCACTATGTTAAGCATATTCTATCCATTAACTCAAATAATGCTACGTACGCGAACCATATTATCACCATTTTACAAGTGAGGAAATTTAGAAATGGGGAGTTTAAGTAACTAGCCCAAGATCATAAAACTGCTATGTTCCAAAGCCGGGATTTAAATCCTGGTTCAAACCCTGGAGTCCATGCTATTATGCTATGCTATCTCCCAAGAGAGAAAGGACAAGAAAAAACACAACACAAAACCTTCTTCCTTAGACTAAATGTGAAAATGACACAAATATTCTGAATCTATTTTAGACATTTTCTAGCTATACAGAAATGATATGCAGTTATGAACCACTCCACAACTTAGATGGACTATAAAAATTATAACAATTCTATATCACTTAGTATAATTCCCTAATTGCCTCATGATGTCAATCCTGTATCTCCCCAAAATTATAAAAACCTCCAGAAAAAGAACTTGCCCCTTATATGTCTTACATGTCCGATGAACAACAACTATAAGTATTAATGCACCATGTACTTAATAACAGTAAAAATAAACAACAGACGTATTAATTTATAAAACATTGCCTATATGCCAGGCACTACTCTAAGCTCTTTACACAGATGAACTCATTTAATTTAGATACTACTCTTGCCCTCATTTTACAGATGAGGACAGGGAGGCATCTGGAGGATTACAGACAGCTACAACTTCTTTGACACTCCTCCCATGGGATGAGGTCCTAGGTCTTCCCTTCTTGAATCTGAGCAGCCCCTGCCCTTATCAACAGAACAGGCAAAAGGGTGTAAAGCTGCATTCACTTCTGGGCCCAGACCCTAAAAACTGACGGCTTCTACCTTCTGGGAGGCCTGAGTTGGCTGTAAGATGCCCAACTGGAGAGAATGGAACACACAGAGCAGCAGCAGGACTCAGGTACCTCAGTCCAGCCTTCCAGCCATCCCTTCCCAGGTACCAAATACGGAAGCAAAGCCACTCTGAATTTTCCAGCCCCAGCCCCACCTCCAGCTGGACACCACACCCTGCTGACACCTTGTGGAGCTGACGAACTGCCCAGTGGAGGCCTGCTGAACTCCTGACCCACAAAACTCTGAGATAAAATAAAACTGTTCTTAAGTCACTAAGTTTTGGGGTAGTTTGTCACATAGCAATAGATAACTTGATCAGGTACAGGGAGGATGGACATAGCTAATAAGTAACAGATAATCACGCAGAGATGGGATTCAAACCCACAGACTCTGACTCCAGAGCCTACACGCTTAACAACTACTCCGAGTTACATGCGCCAGATCAAAGGCTTTCCTCGGACCACATCGGTTGCCTCTTCAGTCGTAAGCCTGCCTTACAGTCCATCCCACAGATAAGCACCGCAGTGAGGCACAGCACACGTAAGGACGGATGTGTGCAACATGAGGTGTTATGGTGTGACTGAAGGAGGGCTTTCTCCATCTTTGCAGTTAATTCGCTTTGTGACAAGGACTATAAATCTGCGGTGAAGGTGCGGACTACATCTGTCTTATTGGTCAGTTTATCTCTGGTACTTAGAAGAGTGCCTTGGACACAGTAGGTGCTCAATACATCATTTCTGGATGGATGGAGACTCTGGGTTTTGGTTTTTTCATCTGTAAAAATGGAGGATTGCCCCAGTGGGTTAGATAATCTCTAAGGCGTCTTCCTGTTTAAATGTTACCAATCTATGACAAGAATGTGATGGTGGAAAGATGGACTGAATAGCATCAAAAAGAGTGGAAATATGGGAAAAGAGAAAAAGAAAAATACAAGAAAAAAGTGTAGACAGATATGAATGAAGCAGTGCTTCTAAAGGAACAAGTGTCACAATGGAATTTTATCCTGTAGAGATGGCTCCTACAGCAAAGCCCCTTCTGTTCTGTGGGGCAATTTACCAACTGGTTAACCACCAATTCTGTTCAGTGGCGCCATTAATAGATTACTTTTCCAAGGGTGCACAGTTCACGCATCTCAGTACTTAGCTTGCCTCAGAGTGGTCCTATCTTCTCTGGCCATCGTGTTTTTCAAATAGCTTCCCAACACCCCACCTCAAACCCAATGGCAAAAGCACTGGCTTCAAACAAACAAGCTGGATTCTTGTCTTAGCTCCATACTAACTCCAATGCTATGGAGGCCATCTGAGTTAAACTGATGTTGTGTGCCTAATATGTACCAGACATTGTCATGAGGATGGAACGCTGATAAACTGAATGAGACTTGTTTCCTGACCTTCACAGGCTGTGTCTCAGTTTTCTAATCGTTCACTTGATCTTATAGAGTGTCCACTATATGCCAGACCCTGAGGATAGGATGGGGAACAATTTGCATAGTCATACATGCCTTCATGAGTGTCAGTCTAGTGGGAGGAACAAGCATAGTGCTGGACTGGAGGCCATTCTGGTAAATTCCTTCTTTTATGGGCTGAATTGTGAGCCTCCCAAATTCGGCGCTGAAGCTCTAAGGCCCCAGGCTGTGGTTTTGTGATGGTGGCCCTGGCAAACGAATACACCTTCTACCCCAGGCCCAACGGCTCGCCTCCAGAGTGAACCCCTCCTTATCACCCACCACCCGAGGTTTCTCACAACACTATGTTCGTACCCCGTCAGGCTTTCATTCACTCAATCAACAAACCACTGTCTGCCAGACCTGTCTTAAGGGCTGAGAAGAAGAGCTAAACCACTAAGGGAAAGGCACTCTCCTGGGTGCCTTCCCTTGACCAACTCAGCAAGCCCTACAAGGCCCGGACGAGGAAGGCGCGGTTACACCCGTTTCACGAGTGTGGCACGGGGGTCATGCGGGGCGAGCCCGGCTGGGCTGAGCTGCGGGGTCCGAAGCCCCGCGCCCCTGCGGTGACAGAGGGAAGCGGAGCCGAGGGCCGGGCGGCGAGGGCGGGAGGGCCGGCGGGTCCCCAGCGCGCGGCCGGAGGGTCAGGAGGCCGGGGCAGGAGGCCGGTGGGCGCAGGCGGGGCTTCCAGGCCGAGGAGCCGCACGAGGACTAAGGCCCGCTCCGGGACCGGGTCTCTGTGCGGAGGCAGGGCTCGCGCGGTCGCTGGGTAACCCACGCGGGACCCGCCGGCCCCCTGGGTCCTCGCGGACCCCGGACCCGGCGGTCGGCGGCGGATCCATGCCCTGCCGGGCCCTGGGGCGCCCGGCCGCCTCTGCCACCGTGCTGGCCCCGAACACCCTCGCGAGACCGGCCTCCCGGCCCAGCGGCCACCTTACCCTCGGAGGCCGCTTCCTGCCTCGCAGCCGCCTCTTCACCTGCCTCCGCCACCGCGCTCCTCGCCACCCGCCGTGGTCCGCTGCCGCGGAACCATCATGAGAACGCCCCCACGGCCGGCCGGACCCGCCCCCCGGCTTCCGGTGTGGCCACTTCCGCCGGGATGGCCGCACTGCGCAGGCGCCCTGGGTGGCTCCGAAGCGAATTCTGCGCGGGGAAGCTGTGGAGGTAGGTGGCGGTTACACCCGAGGAGCGGCGGTTTTTCCACGTGCTCCCCGCGGCCGGTTGAAACCGTGGCGGGCGCTGAGAGGTGAGGGGCTGTGGTCCAGAGGTCCGGCCTAGAGGGCTGGCGCTCAGCGAAGGAGGATGGTGGGAGGTGAACGATGCCTGCATTTCCACCCTTAGAGCCCCTCTGGCTTACACACACGAGGAGGAAAGCCATTCCCATCTTATTCGTGCTCCGGGAAAGTGGAAGCAGTCCTGGACTTAATATGACCAGTTCTCCCCGGTTTTAAAACGGAAAGGTCTGTCCTGGGCACCGCTGGACTGGGCTTCAGGCTTGCAGCTTTTGTGTTCTCTGAGTCGTGGGGAGCCCGGTCCCTAAGGAGGAGGCCTTAGGACATCATGGTTGAGAGCACGGACTTAGGGCCAGAATAACTTGGTGTAAATTGAGGTTTGCCGCTAATTGGATGTGTGACCTGCAAGTTAATGAACCTCTTTGTTCCTCAGTTACGTGGTCTGTAAAAAGGGAATAATGTAGAACCCAACTCAGGACTGTCGTGGGGATTACATGAGCACAAATGTGTGAACCACCCATGACAGGGCCGGGCACATAGTAGGTGCTCAGTAAAGGTCAGGATTTTTCTGAGGCAGCGCCTACCTCTAAGGAGCCAGGTAGGGGGTGCCGGTGTATTTGCAGGGCTGACTTTCCTGCAGAGAGGGCTCACTTGGGACTTACAGGATGACCCAGTCCCCTTGCGCCTAGCATAGTGCCTGACACATGGCAGATTTCTACACAGTTGTTACACCAGTGAAGGGATGCTGTTCAAAATGATGTTGTGATGTGGTGGGTGGGGAGGGGCAGAGACATGGCTCGACTTCTCCCAGCCTCTCATCTGTTAAGTGAAGATAGGTGTACCTCCTTCTAGGTTTTTTGCAAAGAGCAAAGGAGAGGTCCTGTGGGAATGCACAACAAGACTGTCATCACCCCCTCATTCAGAAGTTGAGGCAGAACTGTGGACAAGTGTGTACTCATTTGCCCTTCCCTGGTACCATGCACTTGGTTGTTTGGAATTTTACCCCTGGAAGGGGCTTTGGGCTGGTCTAGTTGGCCTGACCCGTTGTTTCACAAATGGAAGAACTTGAAGTTCAGAGGGGATGGTGACTTGTTGGGGACTGTGCTGAGGTTGCAGCCTGGCCCTTCAGGTGGGCTGTTTTGGTGGTGGTGCTGGTGGTGATGGGGTTTAGGTATGTGTACACATGTGTGTGAGAGAATGTTTTAAGAATAGTGAGTGTAATTTTTGTGAAAAAACAGACAGTATAAAAATATAGAGGGAGAAAGGTACAAAGTCACTCCAGATCCCAACCCCAGAACTAAACTGAGGCAGTGTTACCAGGATCAGGTTGGTAGAGTAGACATTCCATGGTTTGGGGAGCCAGAGAAGACTGGAGTGAGTTTATGAAGATGAATGAGTAGATTGAGGGTCAAATTTAAAGAGACATGGTTTTAGGAGGGGACAGCATTGATGTACAAATTATAGGTCACGGGGACATTATTTCTGCCACTGGGTAAGGATGAATTTTCACATCTAGTATCCTATTTAACTCCCCAAACAAGACTGTAAAATAGGTATTAGGCCCATTTTATAGATAAACAGATTCTGTAAAGTTAGGGTACCTTGAGGTTGCACTGTTTTGAATTGGCAGATGCAGGCTTCAGTTCATATCTCCTGGCCCTGATTCCAGACCCTACTCAACAATGTGGCTGTCACCTTGATAAGAGGAGCCTGAGGTCCCCAAGCCCCTCATGAGTTCTCATCCCCCAGCTGATGCTGTCTGCTGCCCCCAACTCAGTATCACAGATACTTGATGGGTGAGCTCACACAGAGGACCTGGTGTACCTTCGCGGTGGAGTACCTGGCTGTATATGGATCCCAGTGCACACTTGGTATTCAGTAAATGTCTGCTTAATTGGATGACAGTGGCTTCCCTGGGGACAAGAAGCCGAGTATGCTCACAACCAGTCCATGAATGCTGCTTTCTGCCTGCCTTTCTCTTTTCACTTGCCCACATCTCTAGAAGGAAGAGCGCACAGAATCTGCGTGACTGTATTGGGACCCAGCCTTGGGCACAGAGGGCTGGGAAGCCAGGAAAGGGAAAGGGACTCTTATTTAGGCTCAAACCCATAACGAATGCCATCTTTTTACAACTGGGGCCAGACATTGAAATATATGACATCTGAGCGTAGTAAACAGGGTGTCCTAAAATCCTAATGCAGCATTCTTTCAGCTTTCTGAATTTCCAGAGTATAAATGTTAAAAATTTTATCAAGGGCATGATTTGAAAGTTTAATAATATTTAAGTTTCTTTCACATTTGTTTAGTCTTGTGAAATTTGAACAAGCTTAATAGTTTGTTTTAGGCCATACTTGCTATCTTCAGTAGGATGGAATTTTCAAACCCTGTCTTTTTGTCAGCTTACAGTGTTTATACTTCTGAAATTGTTAAAGCTGCACTAAGACATGGGACACGCTGTCTGCTGTGCAGTTAGGATGGTTTACTGCTTCTCGCAGCCCATGTGCTATGCACTCAGGCAAGTGTTTATTGCATCAAGGACAGGTGTGTCCCCCCAGGGGGCTAGGTGAGTCATGAGACCTAGTCAAGGTGACTCTTGCCTGGTGCTGGGGTGTCCTCAAGGCTCTGAACAAGGGAGGGGTCAGCTACTTAACAGACCTCATCTCATTAGCAAGCAGGTGGCCATACTGTCCCCATTTCAGATCAAGTGCAAATAATGTAATGGTGACTCTAAAAATCCTGAGGAAGGCCCTAAGGGACTGAGTTGTAACTTACTGTGCAAGTTACCCATTCTGCTTTTTAAAAAAAAAAACTATGAAATTCCTAAATGTGCACAGTTTGCCATAAAAGACAGGATGAGAAAGGTAGAAGAGGTATTTTCCAAAGGACATGTGACCAAATTCTGATTCTCTCCTGACCTGATGTTTACACTGTATGCGGCTCATCCCCAGAGGATAACCTGTTTTGCATAGATATTCTAAGCATAGTTTTGGTTGACATCACTGGCTTCTCTCAGTTGTTGTTTTGCTTCCAGCTGTCCTTCCCTGGCTTTTAAATCGTGACCTTCCATGACAGATCTGTCTCCCAGTTGGATCTCAAAGCTTGCTGAAACCTTTTCCTCTCCCCTCTCCCCAATGGATGAAAAACAGAATAGGCCTCTTCAGGAAAGCTCTAGGCTGGAACTTAAGTTGAGGGGGTAGTTTTCACTGTTGAATCTCATAATGAAAGTACTTTAAAATTTTTATAGGCTTATCGTAGCTGTTTGCACCTTGTGGGTATGATGGCCATCCATTTCTTACTGAGTAACTAAAGATTCACTCTTGTTGTTACATGAAAGAGCCCCTACAGACTGTTTGATAATGTGGGGTTGGCTCTTGTTCTGACCTTTGTTCTCCCTTGGAGGCAGGTTGGCTGATCTCGTTATTGCCTGTCCCTAATTGAGCATCCCTCTGCCACGTGCAAGATGCTGAGCCTGGAGGGAGCTGTGTGTGATGCCAGCTCTCCCGCACGTGTGACTGTTTCACGCATCTCTACCATAACCAGATGAAAAGGTGCACACCCCAGAATAGTCATGTTTGCTTTTCTCTGGAATTGGTGCCCTCCCTTGCCAACCTACCCAGATGGCGAGCTGAGAGAGGGGGAGACTGGGCCAGGGGCCTGTGTTTGTGTGTAGCATATTAAACATAGCAAGCTGACGTTTGACGGTGCCCTGCAGGGCAAGAGGTCCCCCGGAGAGACCGGCTGGGGTTGCGGCCAGGATTTAACTTTCCATTCAAGGCTGAATGGACAGGAACAGCCCTGATTCTTACTTATGTGTGACCTCCAGCAGTGACCCTGAACGTGGGGCTGGAGGGGAGATGGTGATTTCATGCATGGGAATTCTCTGCAAACCGAGAGATGCTGAAGGATTTTTAGATGAAGTCTTAAACCCCAAGCAAATTGCATCAATTTACTTGATCCTGACCTTCATTTTCATAATCAGGAAGAAAGTGCTGGGTTAAGTAGTTCTCAAATATTTTTGCTGTAAAACTTATATGTAATGTAAAACAACAGTATGCGTCTAGAATCTAATGATTAAAAAACTGCATAACTAAGGAAAGTTACTGTGACTCCTGTAACACTTGTAGGTGAATTTGTTGTTTTGAGCACAGTATCATCTGCATGGAGTTTTTAAGTGATGGATGTTTTGTGCAGATGACTTAATCCTGGGGCAGTGCAGAGCACACCTAGGTTTGTGAATGCCCTTCAGGAATTCAGCACCCAACAGTGGAGACATCTGGATATGGTTCCATTTATTTCTTTGCTCAACAAGCCACATGAAGGAGACCCCTCACCTACTCCTTATCCATTAAGACCATCCTAGTATTTGAGCACCTGTGGATACATAGTAATGGCTAGAGGAAGGTTTTTTGTGCTTATAAAGATAGTTTTAAGGCCTCTTCGCCACTTTCTAAACCTCCCTCGTTCCCCCCTCACTATGTTCTTACTGTATTTGGGGACCTGAAATAATTCACAGTCCACACCTAAAGGCATGTGGGGGAGTAAATGAGCCTAAAGTGATTAGAAAAGGTGCGATATTTCTTTTAACACCCCAAGAGGTAAGCCTAGAGCCAGCTTGCCAAGTTTAAATCCTGTCTGCTGTTGTGTGTCATAGGGCAAGTTACTTAATCTCTCTGTGCTTCAATATCTCATGAAAATTGTGAGCAATAATAGTCCTTTCCTCATAGGATTAAATTAAGTAGAATGTGTAAAGTTCTTAGAATTGGGCCTCGCACATGCTGAGCACAGTCAACAATGCTAGCCATTATTATCATTGTTAATTATATTTTACTTACATGGTGGGTAGAGTATGTGGATTGTTAATTTTGATTCTGCTGTTTGTAACTATGCTATTTTCATGTGAAATTATCGTTGAAATGTTAACTGATCATTTACTGTGAAAAAAAATTTCATATTACAATGATTATCTTATTTTTCATTCAAAAATTTCCTTTTTTTTAAGGCAAGACAAAAACATCTTGGATAGAGAATACTTAATCATTTAACTAAAAATGGTATTCTTTACATGTAATGCATGTGGTGAATCAGTGAAGAAAATACAAGTGGAAAAGCATGTGGCTGTTTGCAGAAAATGTGAATGCCTTTCTTGCATTGA